GTCTCGGCGCTGCAAAGCGCGGGACGGCCCTTCGCTTCTGTCCGAGAAAACAGCTTTCTGAACTGCACCGCGGTCGCCGGTGCCTACCTAGTCTTTCAGTTGCAAAGCCGAAAAAGTTACTTTTATCTTACAGAGGAGCGCTTCAGCCAGAGCTTTAAAAATTTTATTTCATGCCTGGTGAGGAATCCAGTTTCCACACTGCTAAGAAATGGGAGCAGAAGTCAGGGAAAAGATCTGCTTTGCTGGATGTAATTGAGTAACTGTCAGGTTTATCATTTCCCAGCTTAAGATATTTAAGATTGAGAATGGAGGCTGCATTTGGTGACATCTGCTAGTTGCAGCTTGAGATCTTGGATGTCAAGTCGTGGCTACGGTGTCCTGTACGTTTTACAGGAAGGAGCTTTTATAGTTAAGCCTGCTCTGGGAAGCTAGTCAGGCAGCCCTCCTCCTCCTCCTCCTTCTCGCAGGGAGCTCGAGGGGAGCCCTGGTGGTTTTGTCCAGCGGCTGTCCCTGTGTTGTGAGAGCCCGTGTTTACTGCCTCTGGTTTTTTATACGTATTTAGCAATGCCCATGTATTGCTCAGCTGTCTTTGAAAACAAAAGCTCAGCAGCAAGGGGGAATGATCTCTGGAGCACATTCACTGTGACAGAACAGAATTGTCTGGTTTTCCCCCAAATGATTTCTGTTCCGGTTTTCATGGTTGCAAGTAAAACGTGACCTTTGTTTTTCCAGTGCCCCGATTCTGCGTGCAAGCAGGACCTCCTGGCCTACCTGCAGCGCATCGCGCTCTATTGCCATCAGCTGAACATCTGCAGCAAAGTGAAGGCTGAAGTTCAAAACCTCGGAGGGGAGCTGGTTGTGTCTGGGGTATGTATGAACTGTGACACGTCTGGGTCGGGTGGCTTTTCTTCCAGGGATCACAGTTATTGCAAGCGAAGCCTGTATGCTAAATATAGACTACAGACAAGCGATTTTGGAGCCTTCGGTTAAAGTTTTAATGTATGCAAAGTTTGCAATTGCTGCCTGCTCTGCTTCCTTGTTCTGGGAGGAAACGCTTATGTTTGGCAGGGGTTGGGGGGAGGAACAGACTTCACTTTCCCTTACTCCACGGTGTTTGTAGACAAATCCACTTTACCTTTGTGTATTCTACTGTTTTTCCAGACCGTGTTTCACTCTTCGTGAGGTTCAGTCACTTTAATCGGCATAGCTAAACCTGCCCCGTGTCTCTGCACGGCCTTTGAACATGCTGGGGTCCTGCAATGCTCCAGAGATGTTAATATTTCAAAATAGCTGTGCCCTGAGGAGCGCGGGGGTTTTTAGTGGCTGCTCTGTTTTATGACAGCTGAAAGCTGCCGTAGGCCAGCCTGCTTCCTTATTCTAGCCATTACTTAGCAAATAATTTTTTCACTGTAGTTCACGAAATGCTTCCTCCTCAGAGGAATCTATGTGACAGATATCTGCGGGGAGGGAAGCGGAGCTAAATTCTTAATTTCTTCTGGCATATTCTTCCCTTGCCCTGAATACGGGCATGTTTGATCACTGGTGCTTTTGCCCATCCACGTCATGACTGAGGCAGGAGGTTTGAAGAGGGGACAGAAACGGCTGATAGTCTGGTATTGCTACCTGAATCCTTACAAGAAAATGGGAAAAAAAATCTTACCGCCTTGTGCCATTTAGATATTTAAGCGCTTAAACTTATTAGCACATCTTTTTCCCCCGCAAATGAGTTGAACTGCAGCATGACCGCTTCAGCGCGGCGGTAGCTGCGAGAGGTCTGCAGCAACCTGCTGCAGAAGTGGTGGCGGTGGTGGTGGTGGCGGTGGTGGCAGACCACCCTTGCGTAAGCTCAGCCCTTTCTCAGGGGGGACGGGCCCCTCTGGTGCACCTACTGCTGCCGGTCCCACGTGCTCGGATTTCCAGCCCGGCGGAGCCACGTGGTGAAATGGGATGAAACACGCTGCGGGGCGTCTGTCTGTCACCTGCCTGATGTCCTGTAGCTGGAGGGCCGAAAGCAGCGTGCTGACAAAGGAGGAGACGTGTCATTATGCAAGGATACGGACTCCAGGGTTTTACTGCAGTTTTTCAGTGTCTTCAGAATTTACATACCCTTCTGCCATAAATTAGTTATATGAACAGGCTGGCGTCTGCAGTCTAATCTCCTGGTTTCATCTGTTCTCCACGAGCCTGTCCACTGGGGCTAAATATTGCCAGCAGTAGTGTTGGACTTCTGTCAGATGATCGGATGAAGACCTCTGCCAGTCCAGGAGCAAAATTCTTCTCAGTGTTAACATCCTGCCCCCTCCACATCCCGCAGAAATGTTGTGAAAGCGGAGCTGTAACCCACGCGGCAAGAGCTTGCACCCTGGGCGATCTGGCAATTCATTTAGAAAAGTACCCCCTTGCTTTCACGGCGTTTAATATGATTCTTCCTGCTGTGAAGATGCATGGAAATAGTCAAACGCAATGAAAGTAATGCTTTTTCCAGCGTGATGACTGGGGTGAGGAAAGCGGACGACACTGGTTGGCTGGAGGGCGCAGATCTGGTCTGCAGCTGTGGTACTCGGAACACAGCGTGATGGGAAGGAAGGTACCAGCGACCACCCCCTGCTCAGCTTGGTTTGCTGCTAGACAAGCAATGGATTCGAGGTTCTTCCCAAAACCTTCCTTAGATGTCTGCAACATGGGACTTTGAATCATAGAGTGAATCACAGAAGGGTTTGGGCTGGAAGGGAC